ACAAAGCAATCTATAGATTCAATGCTATTCCTATCAAATGACCAATATCATTTTTTACAAAAATAGAAAAAAATTCCAAAATTTATGTGAAGCCAAAAAAGACCCTGAATAGTCAAAGTAATCCTAAGCAAAAATTAAAAAGTGGGAGGCATCACATTACGAAATTTCTACCTATACTACAAAGCTACAATAACCAAAATTGCATGGCAATGGTACAAAAATAGACACATAGACCAATGAAATAGAATAAGAGAACCCAAAAATAAAGCTGCACACCTACAACCAACTGATCTTCAATAAAGTTGATAAAAATAAGTAATGGGGAAAAAAGTTTCTAGTCAATAAATGGTGCTGGAATAGCTGGCTAGCCCTATGCAGAAGAATGAAACAACTCCTTCCTTTTATCGTATATAAAAATTAACTCAAATTGGATTAAATATTTAAATGTAAGACCTTTTACTATGAAAATCATAAAAGAAAATCTAGGAAATTCCCTTCTAGATATCAGCTTTGGCAAAGAATTTATGACTAGGTCGTCAAAAGCAATTGCAACAAAAACAAAAATTAACAAATGTGACCTAATTACAGATATTCTGCACACCAAAAGAAACTATTGACAGAGTAAACAGAAAACCTACAGGATGGAAGAAAATATTCACAAACTGCATCTGACAAAGCTGTAATATCCACAATCTACAAAGAACTTAATTAAACAAGCAGAAAACAAATGCCTCCATTAAAAAGTGGGCAAAAGACATAAACAGGCACTTCTCAGAAAAAGACATACAAGCAGCCAACAAATACATGAAAAAATGCTCATGATTAATCAATCATTAGAGAAATGAAAATCAAAATCACAATGAGATACCATCTCACACCAGTCAGAATGGTTAACTAAAAAGTAAAAAAAAAATAACAGATATTGGCAAGACTGTGGATAAAAGGGAACATGTATACACTGCTGGTGGGAATGTAAATTAATTCAGCCATTGTGGAAAGGAGCTTAGAGATTTCTCAAAAAATTTAGAACTAACATTCAGCACAGCAATCTCAATAGTGGGTATGTACCCAAGGAAAATAAGTTGTTCTAAGCCAGGTATGGTGGCTCATATCTGTAATCCCAACACTTTGGGAGGCCAAGATGAATGGATCACTTGAGGCCAGGAGTGCGAGACCAGCCTGGCCAACATGGTGAAACTCCATCTCTACTAAAAATACAAAAATTAGGTGTGGTGGTGCATGCCTATAATCTCAGCTACTCAGGAGGCTGAGGTATGAGAATCATTTGAACCTGGAAGGCAGAGATTGCAGTGAGCTGAGATCGTCACTGCAGTCCAGCCTGGGCAATAGGGTAAGACTCTTGTCTCAAAAAAATAATCATTCTATCAAAGAGCCACATGCATTCATATGTCCATAGCAGTGCTGTTCACAATAGCAAAGATGTGAAGTCAACCTAGGTGCCCATCAATGGTTGCAGGGAGAAGAAAAATGTGGCACATAGACTCCATGAAATACTACACAGCCATAAAAAAGAATGAAATCATGTCCTTTGGAGCAACATGGTCTCACTTATAAGTAGGAGCTAAACATTGAATACACATATACATAAAGATGAGAACAACAGACACTAGGGACTTCTAGAAGGCGAGAGTAAAGGAGGAGGGTATGTGCTGAAATCTACCTGTTGGGCACTATGCTATCTGGGTGATGGGACCATCTATACTCCAAACTTGAGCATCATGCAATATGTCCAGTTAACAAACTTCCACATGCATCCCCTGAATCCAAAATTTAAAACATTTCAAAAACTAGCCAGTTATATAGCAAGTGGCAGCAGTGTAATTCAGGAAACCAACAACGTGTTGGCAGTTATACTGTTTTCACAATTATAGAGATAGAAACATTTAGGTGTGGCAAAAGGACCATTTACATAACATATATACATGCCTTTATTTTTGAACAATCAGTTATGATACTATTTATCTGAATAACGAATCTGTGAAAACAATAATGATGTAGCAAAATTGGGTAATGAGAATTGTCCACACTGAGTGCAGGCTATAAAAAAGGTATATTCTCTGTACAAAATTTAAAAAAAGTAAAAACCAACAAAAACCTCATCTGCTTAAATTTTCATCATGCTCTAGCAATTTTAAACGATGTGAATGATAAAATAGTTTTCCCCAGAAAAATATTTTCTTGGTACAACTTCAGTACAATGGATGAAGTTACTGTTGAGTTTTATTAATATATATATAAGCTTTAAATTAAATGTAGTGTATTTTCTTTAAGAATTGTATTGTTCATAAAGGTAAATTTAGAGAACTTCCAGTTATACCAATACCACCCAACACACATAAACTCAGCTATAGAATTTCCTGTGGAAGTAAGTTAAAAATGGTTTACAATCATTAAAGTTCACTTTGTGTGCAGGTTATGTCTTCAGTCCTCTGATACAACATATCCCCATGTTTATAGTTTCAAAATAAAAAATGACAGTGCAGTGAATCTCTCTACTTTTGGGGTAGTGCTCAGCATGTCTTCTTTATTAATTTCCTGTTATTGATGTAACAAATTCTCAAAAATTCAGTGACTTAAAACTTAAATATGGCTGCAGTTCCCCCTTCTGCAAGTGTAAAAATTAGTCTATATGTTTCTCCTGCCTCCAAAAGATGTATTGTTGGAATGCTACCACATTCTGAATAAATCATTGTTTGCACACTGTGGTTAATCTGACTTAACATCTTCCAAATAATTCAGATAAAGGGCTCAAATCTAAAATTTTTTGCCCTCTAATTACAATGCTACAATCCCCCTTCCTCTACTTTCCAATGTGTTCTTTACTCCCTTCTAAGCCTTCAAGTCCTTATTTCTATTGACAGTCTGTTCAAGGCAATTTGGGTTTTCTCTATCATGCTCCTCAAAATTCTTCTAGCCTCTATCCAGTACCTGATTTCAAAGCCCCCTATCACATTTTAGGTATTTGTTACAGCAGCACTCCACTCCAAGTACCAGAGCCTGTGGTTGTTTTCTATTGCTCTGTAACAAATTGCCCTGTAATTAGTGGCTTAAGACAGAACCCACTTATCTCACAGTCCTGAGTCAGGAGTCCAGGTATAGTTTAACTGAGTCCTCTGTTCAGGATCTCACAGGGCTGAAGTCATGGTCTCAATCTCACCTGAGGCTTGAGGTCTTCTACAAGCTCACTGGTTGTTGGCAGAATTCAATTACTTGCAACTTAAGAGTAAAATCCTATTTTCTTGCTGTCAGCCAGGGAACAATGTCAGCTCCTAGAGAGCCACTCTCATATTCTTGCCTCAAAGTACCCTCCTCCCACAACATGACTGTTTGCTTCCTCAAGGCCAACATGAGAACATCTGCTGTGGCCACTTGTCTAAGAGCTCACCTGATTAGGCAATAGGCAAGATCCACTCAGGATAATCTCCCCTTTGATTAACTCAAAATAAAATGATCAGTAATCTAATCACACGAATGAAATTCTTCATATTCACAATTCTTACCCACACTGAAACAGATGGGAATTATAAAGGACACGTATGCCAAGGGGTCCATCTTAAGAATTGTCTACAGCACCAGAGCACTATTCTGCCTGCTCCTTCTCCTCTAACTTTGGACACTGCCTTGGATTCCTGCCCTCTTACAGTGCAGTGGAATTGTTCTGTTTATTTCCCTCCCTTTTCCCAGATTTCATCAACCAGTCTTTGGACAGATGCCTCTTGTTTTAAAGCAGTCTGACTTTCAACTGCATGTTTCTTATTGTCTAAAATTAATCAGAGAGAAGTCATTAAGCACATTATCTTATTGGTGAGCTACCTGGAAAAGGCCATCAGGGGCACAATTGTATGTGGCCAATAATCTTTATTCTTCCTCAGCCTGAGGCAATGTATATGAATGCAGTTTTGTAAATATTTAATAATGTATGAACTAGAAAAAGTTAATACAGTAAAGGTTCTTAATAACAAAGTCTTTCTGGTATGAAGTATTTAACATTTTCCTGCCCCATTAAAAAAAGGACATTTTTATAAAATGAAGACTAACAAATGTTGTACATATTTTTAAGAATTTGCCAAAGAGAATTCATGGAGAAACATATTTGCTTTGTGCACAATTGCTGCTGCTAGATGTGTGCATCTATAGATCAGCTCTTGCCTAGGGCATAACTTGTCAATTAGTTTTAATTTTTTCCTATGTCCACTGAAATAAAAAAGCCTCATTTTTCCCTTCTCTGCTCTGGTAAATCCTTTCTTGCATTATCATTCTGTGGTTAGACTTGTATTTACCGTATGTACTATAAACATTGCGGTTTCTTCTAACCAGTTTCAGCAGTCAGGCTCAGTGTGTCTATAAGGTCATGCATAAACTTTTACATACATGTGAGATAACTGAAGTATGCACTCTTAAAAGCCATTAGATAAAAAAGAAATACTCTCCCCTATCCATGTAAAATCAAGTGGTCGGCTTTTTAGAGTCTGACAAGGTATCATTTAAAAATATGTTGACTTTGTGTTAATACATAAATGTATCCTATTGCCCATAGCATTATAAAAGGGAAGCCCCTCCTTCTAGCTTTACTGTTTTTTGTTTGTTTTTGCTAGCTTTCAGGTGACAATCTGCCTACCAAAAGAAAAGCAAATACTGAAGCAGGTCCAGTCTCTTGCTTTTCTAATATGAACTGGGCTGCACTCATTAATCTGACAGGTTCAGGTTGCTGCTATTTATCAAATCTTTTGTCCTATGTAGCAAAGAAATCAAGGAGTTGTGGTCACTCAGAGACTAAGAGTCAATTTTTACGTAAGGACTTTCAGTTCCAACACCCGGTATAACTTAACAAGTTTAGAAAACTCGACTACAGGAAATGGTGAGACGCAGTAAGAAACAGGGGTAAATTATTTTATATAAGACATGGTGATGATGAGATTATATATTTGAAAAAAATGTCAAGTGTCAAATACCTTTTTAAACTCAGTCAGAGATACAGATAAAAAGAACCAAAAGACATTTATTTACAAAATTTCTTACTTGACCAGTGGTGACAGCCAAAAAACAGTACACCAGAAAAAAAACAACTAATACCCCACTATTAGTCTTTAGGACAGTTCATACAAGGTAACCACAAGAGCAGATCCTATTAGGCTAGAAGGATGTCCTCCTGAGTGTTCTTAAATTGCACAAGAATTTACATTTAACCAAAGAGGTCTGTGCAAGTAGCACTGTGGTGCTTGTAGGCTCAATTGACACACAGCTTCTAGAGTGCTGCTCCCTGTATACCTTACATAGCTTTTTCACCACTTCTGTTGATGTCTTTGTCAGCTTCTTCCCCTTTTTCTCCTCCTTTGTCAGTTTTCTCTTCTCTGTTGATTCCTTCCTCTTTTTCTTCTCCACTATCAACTCCTTTCTCTCCTCTATTCTTGGTGTTCTCTTCTCCCCTGTCAGCTCTTTTTTCTCCTCCATTGTTGACTTCTTTCTCTCCTTCTTTGTCCTGAACACTGATATAAACAGCTTTGTTACAGCCTTCCCGGTTCCGAGCAATTTCAATGGCAAAGAATTGTATCCTGGGGGCTGAAAAGTGAACAGAATTGAGTATTATCCTACTCTTAGTTTATTCCCTAAATCTTTTTTTTTGTTGTTGAGCCAGGGTCTCACTCTGATTCCCAGGACTGGACTGCAGTGGCACGATCACAGCTTACTGCAGCCTCAACTTTCTGGGTTCAAGCAACCCTCCTGTCTCAGTCTCCCAAGTAGCTGGAACTACAAACACGCACCACTACACCTGGATAATTTTTTAAATGTTTTTGTAGAGATGAGGTCTCACTATGTTGCCCAGGCTGGTCTCAAATTCCTCAGCTCAAGTGATCCTCCCATGTCAGCGTCCCAAAGTGCTGGGATTATAAGACATGAGACACTGTGCCTGGCCTGTTCCCTAAATATGCCGGAAATCTATTGACAAAATTGAAATAATATACAAAACATTCGAGTATACTCATAAATTCAGATATATTGAATTCCAATCTCATATTAATGAGATTGAAAAGACTTAACTATCTTCAAGTTACTTAAAATAATAGCAACAACATCTTTAAAGATGAAACAAAACACGGTAATACATAATACATAGTAACCTAACTATACATGTTACTGATTCATCAGCAAAACCAGACTGTTCAGTCTCCTTATAAAGAAACATTTCCAGAGGGAAAAAAACTCACCAAAGATGGTGTTTTCTTCAGTGTAGCCCTGAGAACAATCTAGTCGCAGCAAAGTACCATAGTTGAAGTCTTCAACAATCCCATTAAACTTTAAGCAGAATGGCCTCCACTTCTAACAAGGCAAAAACAACGCCTTAGCTAACAAATACAAGAGGACAGCAGAGATAATTCCACTTCCCCAGTAAGGAAAATAATCATACTGAGACTAGGATTGAGGTGATTGCTGGTTTCACAGTGAAACTAGCAGTGCTTTTCTGTGCTACCGATTGTGTCTTTAGACTGGTATTTCCCAAGATGAATAATATTTTACTCTGAAATACATATAAATCCTTTACTATAGAATTAAAATATGATTTCTTAAACAGATTGTTTTGAAATTATTGGTCAGTTCAATCCAAAATGGTCATCTATACCCACTAAAACACAAATGATTTTAATAAAGAAGTCCATTCAGTAGTGACAATTTTCCAAAGACAAAGATCACTAATAGCCTCCTAGGAGTCAAAAGTTTAGATTCTTGGCTGGGGGCAGTGGCTCACCCCTGTAATCCCAGCACTTTGGAAGGCTGAGACAGACGGACCGCTTGAGCTCAGGAGTTTAAGACCAGCCTGGTCAACATGGTGAAACCCCGTCTCTACCAAAAATACAAAAAATTAGCTGGGCATGGTAGCATGCACCATGTATCATTTAAAAATATGTTGATTTTGTGTTAATACATAAACGTATGCTAGTGTCCATAGCATTATAAAAGCTAATGCTATGGACAAAAAAATTATATAATTATAAAATTATACAAGCTTTTATAAAATTATAAAAGCGGCAGTCCCAGCTACTAGGGAGGCTGAAGCAAGAGGACTGCTTGAGCCTGGGAGGTGGAAGTTGCAGTGAGCTGAAATGGCACTACTGTACTCCATCCTGGCAAACGAAGTGAGACCCTGTCTTAAAAAAAGAAAGAAAAAAAAAAACCACACACACACACACACGCGTGCGCACACTTAGATTCTTCATTAGCCAAGGTTTTACTCTCAAGAGAAAACATTTTTTCCTAACTGTAAAAGTGATAGTTTCCTATTAAAGTATTGGATAATCACATAAGCAATGAAAAACGTAAGTTTTCTAGTTATCCATGGCACATAATCACATGAACTTAAATGAAAAAATCAAAACACCTTCCTATGCCCTATTTACCACTCCCCATCCAAGCCTCTGGCTATACTACCTAAAAAAACTGATTCCTCCTCCCCTGAAAGGGCTGGGTGGAGATTTAAAATGTCCAAGACAGAAAGGAGAAAAAAATTGACTTAACAATATGAAAAGTCAATAAACTGGAAAAACATTCATTTTTTTAACTTAGTTTGATTACAACTAGTTACAAGTTTTGGTTCTTTACATATTCTTCTTAAACAACAAAAAGAGTTTAAATGTAAAAAAAAAATCACAATCAAAAATTGTTGGTTAAATGCTAAGTAACATTTGAGAAAGAGAATTTTTACCTCTTTGGCTGATTCTGACTTGAGTTCTTCTGGGTCCAATACATCTATCTTCAGCTTCTCAAAATTTTTCCGGAACTCAGAGTAAATTTGGTCATCTACTTTGGTGAGTTTCAGGAACTGTGGGTCAACTGATGAAATCAGCTGCCAAACAGTAAGAAAACATACAGGTGCTAGTCTGTAATTTACTACTACCTTCCCCATTTCCACCAGAAAACGTTTATGGTTCTCAGGGCAGAAGATCTCTTCAGGAAGTGTCATCAGACAACCTACATCCTGGATGAAATCATGACATAGTTTAAGGCCATAATATATTATTACAATCTCTTCCACCAATTTGGCAATTGGCTTATTTAACCATAGTTCTGTCTGGCTATTGCCCTCCGTGGATTGTTCATTTATTCAACCAACATTTATTGAGTGCCTACAATGTATGGGCCAGACGTCCTTTTGTCAATCAGCATAATAACACTGAGCAAAGCAGCAGAACTCATTGTAGAAACAAATTTGCTTTCACTCCTCTGTTGTCTGTGGGTAAGAACTTACATTAATAAAAACTATCTCCAAAACACAACTGTTTAACTTGCTGAAAATAGTGATAAGCAGAGCATCATACACTATAATTACATGTTTAATTCTGCTTAATGATGAAGACAGACAACTCACCTTGTAATAGACTTCAGCATGCTGCATTGCCCTCATGGCCCAAGCCATCTCAATGTCAGGCTGCAAAGGAGTGAAAAATACCAAGTCATAAACCTCCCAATCCTACTAGTGAATACCAAATTAAGGAAGTATGTGGATGTCTATTTAATGCTCAAGAGGGCTACCAAACTTGATGTTACTGTCAAATAATTAAAACTGTAGTAATACATTTAGACAGTAATTATTTTGTCCATACAACAACCAAAAGAAGCTACCCAGAAAGTATAATGAACACAATGAGCCACTGGCTATCTTTTCCCAGCTGCTAGTGAAAGCTGGGAGACTAAATAAAGCAGTAGATACATAACCTTCTCAGGATTCAGTTAAATCACTGTAAAACTGAAATAATATAACCCTCAATATCACTGAGTTGTTGGGAGAACAAAGAATCAAAATGAAAATTACTTTTCACTTTTAAGATTGAAGCATGTAATCATTTGTGTTTACCAAACAGCCAATTCCCCATATTATGACACCTAGAAATGAATTAGCACATGAAACAGGTCAAGGCTATAATAAATATTACCTAGCACCCATCTGTTCCACTGGAATCTCCCACTCCAATGAGACCGGAGACCTCCGAGCTATTTCACTGACTCCAGGAAAAGCCATTTGCATTTGTTACCTCCATGCCTTATACCACACACTTTTCCCACCTCCCAATCCATGTCTTTCGTCCACCTACACTTTGAGGATACAGTTAAAGCTCCATTTCTTCAGTCTAGTCTTCTACTGCCTTGGCCCCTTAGGGATTTCTCCTTCAGCTAAAGTATTTGGATCTTATGGCCTGACCCACTCATTATATGTATTGCATTCTTATTTGGGCGTTTTTACTATTCTCACATCCCCTTGTCTTGTGTCGGAAAATACGTCATATACTTTCTCAGTGATTTTCTAAACCAGACACATAATAAGCCAATGCAACTTTGCTGCACAATGGAATCCCTCTAAGACCCTTTAAAAATACTGATTCTTGGCTCTCATTCCCCAGACATTCTGATTTAGGTGGTATGAACTGCAATCTAGGCAGCGGGATGTTTAAAAGCTTCCCAGGTGATTCTAAAGAGTGGCCAATTTGGGGAACCACTTCCACAGGCGTTAGTCCTGCGTTTGTGGACCAAGATTAAAACGAACTGAAAGAAGGTGCGGTTTCTGGTGGAAGTGGAGAGGGTCTGTAGCAGATATCAGGACATGGGATTATAATTTAGTGGCAGGTCCTGCAGAGATCCCAGGCTGAGGGGGTAGGAGCTGTGGGTGAGTCATACTCACATCGTTGCCATAGGACTCTGCTGGGAGGGAAAGCGCATGTGCCACAGACACCAACTCCCCGGAAACCTAGAAAGGGGGAAAAAAAGAGTTCAAGGCTCCACCCAAGGCTGGGAGCGGTGCTTCATACCTGTAATCCTAGCATTTGGGAGGCCGAGGCGGGTGGATCACCTGAGCCTAGGAGTTTGAGACGAGACTGGGAAACATGGCGAAACCCCGTCTCTACAAACAATAAAAATTTTTAAAAAAAATTTTTTTAATTAGCTAGGCGTAGTGGCACGCGCCTGTTGTCCCAGCTCCTCGGGAGGCTGAGGTGGGCGGATGACCTGAGCCCCGAGGTCGGGGCTGCAGTGAGCCGTGAATGCGCCACTGCACTCCAGCCTGGGCGAGTGAGTGACACCTTGTCTCAAAAAAGGAAAAAAAAAGGCTTCACCTGGCTCGACCTCCCCACTCACCCGACCCCAGAGCAGCGTCTCACCGGTTCATCAGTTCCACTGGTAGCCGCCATGTTGTAACCCAGAAAGCCTGGCTCCTTGCTCAGTTGATTGGGAAGCTGATCCAGATTAGAGTCGTTCTCTTCCGGCGGCTCCAGTGTGCACTCCCCCTCCCGCTGAGGAAGTTGCGGGCCCCGCCTCACCGTCCCCGCGCAGGCGTAGAAGTGGCGTACTGTTGGGTAGGCTGGACTGGTTGAAAGATCCGAGGTGATTGACTCCTCAGTAATTTCGGTGGTGATCACAGGAAAAGGTTGAGTTAAAGAAAACTATAAAGAACTGTAAACACACACAAAGTAGCTGGTCAAGCATTTATGAAAGAAAAAAGGCAGCAGGAAAAAAAAACACTTTAAAAAAAGTTGTTGGTTATCTGTAAAAGAATAAGGCAGAGTCCCACAGAAACCAAAAGGTTTAAGAGCTTCCAGAAATAAGTGGTGAGCAGAACCCAATACTCTAGGTTGAGTATACTAAGCGTAAAAATAGAGGGAGGTTGACAACCTTAGCAAGAGCAGGTTAAGTGGAATGGTCATTGACAACCTTGGCAAGGGCAGAAATCAGATGGCAGTGGGTTCAAGAGAGAGTGGGAGGTAAAGAAGAGATGTTAATGATCATGGAAAGTTCTTCCAAAAGAAGTGCAGCTAGAAAGAAACATGAGGTCTAGGGACTTTTTAAAAAGTCGTGGTAAGGATCAGATAATATAAAAAGTTTTCATCTTAACCATTTTTAAGTGTACACTTTAGTAGTGCCAGTGTTAAGTATATTTACATTGTTGTATGACTTATCTCCAGAACTTTTTCATCTTGCAAAATTGAAACTCTATATGCATCGAAGAACGATTCTCCACTTTCCTCTCCATTTGGCCCCTGGTAGCCACCATTCTATTTTCTGTTTCTATGAATTTAACTATGTTAGACACTGCATATAACTGGAGTCATACAGTATTTTTCCTTTGGGGACTGGATAATGTCCTCAAGTTTCATCCACATTGTAGCAGATGACAGGATTTCCTACATTTTTAAAGCTGAATAATATTGCATTTTGGCCAGGCACAGTGGCTCATGCCTGTAATGCTAACACTTTGGAAGGCCAAGGCGGGTGGATCACTTGAGGTCAGGAGTTCAAAACCAGCCTGGCCAATATGGTGAAATCCTGTCTGTACTAAAATTACAAAAAAAATTTAGCTGGGCATGGTGGCAGGTGCCTGCACTCCCAGCTACTTGGGAGGCTGAGGCAAGATAGTTGCTTGAACTCAGGAAGCAGAGGTTGCAGTGAGCTGAGATCATGCCACTACACTCCAGCCTGGGCAACAGAGTAAGACTCTATCTAAAAAAAAAATCCGTTGTATATAAATACCATATCTTACTTATCCATTTATTCATCCATAAACACTCGGGTTGCTTTCACCTTTTGGCTATTGTGAATAATGCTGCTATGTACATGAATGATCACTGTGAGACCTTGTTTTCATTTTTTTTTTTTTGGATATTTACCCAGAAGTGGGATCACTGAATCATATAATTAATCACATAGTTAAAGGGTCTTATTTTTATTTTTTTAGGAAACCCAGGGACTTTAAAAATTACTTTCAGTTTAGAGAAACTTAAGAGTACTGAGTAATTGGCCTTATGCAAAATATGGTCCTGGAGGATGAGCTACAGCTATCTCCAGAGAAACTTCATGAACGAGGAGAGATAGCCAAAGTGGGAAATTGTGGTGTTCCTTCCAGACACCTTCTGTTTTCTCTATAAAGTATAAGAGGGCAGCTCAGAGCAAGAGGGAATCTGTTAAAGTCTTGTCTGGAACAAGTTGCTTTCTCTGAATAGCAACTCAGAGGAGTGGAAGAACCAATCAAACAGGGAGATGAGGGGAAATTTTCAGGGAACAGCTAAAGCTGGAGGACATGATTTTTCAAGGGTAGCAGTTTCCATGTAATGTAGAGGTCTGAATGTAAGTTGAATTATCCACATGTATGCTGAATGTTAGTAAATGCGCAGGCCTTACCAGGAGGTCAATAGAGTAACATAGATGTATAGGCTCAAGCCAATGGCCAAATTGGTGCATAATAAATAAACATGAATTAAATCCAAGAGACCGAACAGGTATTTTACTTGAGGAAGCATTTGAGTAATTTGTTTTATCTAATATTTTGAGGAAATTCACTGCCTTTAAATTTATTTATTTATTTTTGAGACAGAGTCTCACTTTGTCCCCCAGGCTGGAGTGTAGTGGCAGGATCTCTGCTCACTGCAACCTCCACCTCCCAAGTTCAAGTGATTCTCCTGCCTCAGCCTCCTGAGTAGGTGGGATTACAGGCGTGTGCCAGTACACTCGGTTAATTTTTTTTGTTTTTAGTAGAGATATGTTTTTACCATGTTGGCCAGGCTGGTCTTGAACACTTGACCTCAAATAATCCACCCACTTCAGCCTCCCAAAGTACTGGGATTACAGGTGTAAGCCACCATGCCCAGCCTGCCTTTAAATTTAAAAACCCATTAAAATGTGTAATGGGTGAATAGTTTTTTTAGGAGTATTTTAAATCATTTTAAATAAGGTGACTAGGCTGAATGCAGTGGCTCAAACCAGTAACTTCAGCAGTGTGGGAAGCTGAGGCAGGCAGATTGCTTGACTCCAGAAGTTTGAGACAAGTCTGGGCAACATGATGAAACTCCATTTCTACAAAAAAAAATTTTTTTTAATTAGCCTGGAGTGTTGGCATATGCTTGTAGTCTCAGCTACTTGGGAAGGCTGAGGTAGGAGGGTTGCTTGAGGCCAAGAGGCCAAAGCTACAGTGAGCCATGATTGTGCCACTGCACTCTACCCTGGGTGACAGATCAAGACTCCATCTCAAATGCATACGTACATACATACATACATACATACATACATAGATACATACATAACTATAAAGTAAGATAAAAACTCACTACTCAACTACTCAGACTTAGGTACTTGTGGAGACCAGGAATTGACTCATCCTAATATTGGAAAAGCCAACTGCTTCTGTATCCCAAAACAGCAGGAGATAAAACTGTCACCTGGTGCGTTCCATATTGCCAGGCAAGGAAACCGGTCTAGGCAAAGTTATCAGAATATGTGTTTGCCTTTACCTTATTTCAAATAGACTTAAAATAGTTGGCTGTTAAAACAAAGGAGAGAGGAATCAGTCAAGAACAAAAGGCAGGAAATAAAAAGGGAGGGTTGGTGGACTTTAAGAACTACATCAAGAAAAGATCTTTTAGTGTTGAGTAAGAAAACTGGGGATGGAAATCCACTGGAATGATTTCTTGTATTTTTTGGAAAGGCTGCAGTGAGTTGTTCTTTAACTTCCTAGACAGGTAGTGATAATATGCCATGGGTGGAACCAAAAGGCATCACCAGTCCTGACTAAAATGCTAAGGTATCTGTAACACCAGGTATCCCAAGAGTGTGGAGAAGGTGAAAGTTACAACTGGTAGGAGGCAGGGTAGAGGAAAGTAGTGAGTTACCAAATATGAGTTTGTCATAGCAAGGTAGTTAGATGAGTACTGCTATTGGCAGGTGGTTAAACGTTTATAGTACCTAAGAAAATGAATGACAAGTGTCTGTCAGACTATATGAGAAAGGCAACTTGAAGAATCTTGAAACTGGTTATTAAAAACTGGGAGGAAAAATAGGGCTACAGTGAGAAATCATGTAAGTTAGCTTGCTATAAAAATATAAAATCTGAATAATAAAAGTGTTCATTGTGACAGGTGTAGTTCATGATACTTACAGATTACTCATATCCTCTTATAAATATGCTTAATGTGAAAGCAGGATGTCAAAGAGGACATCTCTAATAATCATCTTACCAGGATATGTTCTATGGTAAAGAGGAAGTGCAACAGTGACCTCAGGATGCCTTCCCAGATTGAGTCCTGTCCCACACATCTTGTAGTAATACAGCTTCAAGATACAAAAAGCAAAAATTGAAAAAAAACAGAAGCAGAAATAACAAAATTCCTTAAAAGATATATTTTAACACACCTATGAATTTAGAAGTTTCAAACAACATACTAAAAATATTTGATTTAATGAGTATGCAACTCTAAACCCAACAATTACATACTATGCATTATTTTCAAGCATCCATGGAATAGTTATAATAATTACATTATGATATGTGATAAAGTATGTCTCAAAAAGTAATAAAGAGTCCAATTTATGCAGATAGGCTAGAAACCATACCTGATATAAACATACCTGGCATGAACTAGGCATGGCTTCCAGCCTATCTGCATAAATTGATGTATAAACTAGGTATGAACTAGCCATACCTGGGATAATGAACTCAGTGAATTATTGAACATGAATTGAGTAGCAAAACAGGCCATGTAGACACTCTTCAGAGACATGATTCTTACGGTTTGTTTGGCTATTAGACTACAGATGGGAAAACAACCTTGGTTGATTTTGAAACTTGTTACCAAAAGCTGGGAGGAAAAAAAACTGGGGCTGTGGTCAGAAATCTTGTGATAGAGTATTCCATGACAGGAGAAAACCTGGTTAACAAAATGTAACAGGGAACAGAAAAAACACATGGCTTGTGCCATCTTGCTGAAACTGTTACATGTGAGAATGGTAATTCTGTTCCAGGACTGTTCTGTGGTTAGGAGTAAGTACAACAGTTCTTTGAGATGCCATTCTGGACAACCTGACACACTTGTTACACGACATGACACAATGTATTGCATCCCTTATGACATGAAGATCTTGTTGTCTTGAGGTGCAGTGGCCATTATGATACAGATGCCATCAATGTCCCTCCCTTTTACATTCACTAGTCTCCTAAACCCCTCTCGACATTTTGTCATATCCAGAATTTCTTCCCCATCCTTTCTCTTTGTCATTAACAGCAACTTTAGTGCTCCAAAGGGTGCTGCAGTAAGAGTGCTGCCAGGCTGGCCATGAACTACAGGTTCTGCTATTTTGTAGCTGGTAAACAGACTTGCTTCTCAGAAAGGAAAACTCAAGAAAAACCACCCAGTATCCATAATCCATTTAGTGATAAACTTAGACCTTGAATTCAAGTCTTAATTCTTTCATATACACTTTTTGAACAGGGTCTCATTTAAAAGAATTAAACGAGAACAAAAATACCTAACTGTGGCATTATTCTGAAATCAGTCATGTAGTGTGGAACATAATCTAATTAGGAAAGCCACTTAATTAATTGAAGTTATGTGCTATAGTATA